GAAAGCTGACATAAGCTTTCCCAAAACGGACATGGTAAGCTGGCACATATTCCTGCTAGGACCACAGATGTGCCGTAATGTGGCTAGGGATCTTTTAAACAGAATAGAGACCACAAAGTAGAAATATAAAGAAGGAAGGAAACATCCTGAAGACTAAATCCCTCACCTTCATGTTGTTTATGAAAGATATAAACTTTACTCATTATTTCTGAAATTCACAGTACGGAGGCTTTCTTATTCATTGAGAGAATATTTTTCATTGAGAATTTTCTGTTACATGGGCCTAGATCTATAACCAATTTTATAACATTACTGTAATAGTTAATCATATGCATGCTCTGAATTTATTCATGACAAAATACACCCTGTGGCTAGATGTTGATTTTTTCATGAAAATATAAATAGTTGAAGATATTAGCACAATGTATCAATTGTAAAACAAGTCAATAAACTCTTACTATCAATTCAGAACACTTCAAGATAACCTACATAACATACATTTATAGATACTGATTTTCATGACCATATTTTGAACTACAGAACATGCATATATCCTCATAAAATGTCTCACTATAATTCAATAGATCTATATGAATACAAATGAATACTACAATCTTTGGTTTCATTCATCTTTTGACAAAATTTAAACTATTAAAAATAACTAAAATCATCAAATTTTAACAATAGAAAGATAACAAAAGCCAACATACAGAACTTAAACTATATACACACTTAAATGTTTTTTTTTTTCACATACAAATCACGTTCAGACTGCACTGCAATAATTCCTTCACGTTCAACCTTTTCAGCTGCTGTTACATATTTTCTCCTCCATACTGGTCTAATTTTTTAAATTATGACTGCAATTAGTCAACTCAGTATGATCCTTCCTCTAACCATCCACTGTTCAGAACAAGAAATTCCTGCAGCTAATTGACACCCAAGAATATGGGCACTTAGCAAACAGATGAAAGGAGAGAAAAATTCAGAAGGGAAAGATCAAGAGAAAGGTGCTTCTGAATTTCTGCAGGCCAGCATTTACTTCTCTCCATAAAACAAGCATTGTGCTCATTATATCCCAGGACTCATCTTGCCTTCAGCTTACAGTAAACTGGCAATTGCCTTATCACTTCTTCCCAAATTAAGGATCAAAGTTTAAGCATATTCTTTCCCATCTCTATTATATTATGATTAAAATTACCACCTGCCTCATCTCATACAATTACTTCTTTTAGGAAAAAGAAAGAACCCCCTAAAGTAGTCATATTTACCCAGAAAAAAAAAAAAACGACTTGTAGGGAATTACTGTCATAGCATTTAGCTGACAGCAGACTTCAGAACACAACATTTAAAAATGTAACAGTCTCCTGAAAATAATATCCTAGTAAGTATTTTAACTTTGCTAGTTATTTATCATGATCAATTTATAGTTTACTTAGCAAGCATCTTTACATCTTTAAGTGTATTTTTAGTCCACATGCCACTCAATGGAGTTCCATCCCATTTCACTCTTACACATGCAGAAAATAAAGATCACAGAGGTTGATTCATATGTCCGGGAATTCAAGTATCATTTTCTCACCCTTTATATTAGAGCCACTCAGCAATATATTTTCTACGTTCTTCGTATTACACATGTGAGGAAGGTAAATTCAGAATCCAAGCTATTCTAATTACATCAAAATCAGTCAAGTTTTATAAGTTAGTCATCATGACATAAACAATGTCAAGCATTAATAATAAATCAATGAGCAAAAATGATACAAAAATATATTTGATGCAATTTTCATGTTTGCCAAGGAATTTGGCTTCTGTTGCCCTAAACACAAAATAGAATGGAGTTTTTTTTGAGTATTAGAAGCAAAATAACCCTGGGTTCAAAAAAGTGAATGTGTAATGATGAGCAGTTTCCACTGCAAGAAGAGAACCTACTCCTTATTTTTAAATAATATGCTCCCTTTATAATAAAAGTTATATGGTAGAAGAAATTCTCTCCAAAGAACACACTTTCATATTCTTCTTTAACACCTATAACTGTATAATCGGGGTTTAATGCATGCTTTTAAATAACAGTAGTAAGATACACTTCTCAGTCTAAAACCTCAGCACTTTTCACAGGGACCATATTATCAACTCAGTGACTACCTCAGACCTTGCTTGGTAAGAGTTGAAAGGAATCCTCTAGGAAGTTACAACATGCAGTTATTCTCAGGAAGTGCTACAGCAAGCACCAGAGCCTAAAGTAAAGCAAATGTTCCATCAGGTCATGCTAAGTGACTTTGAAGTGCAGTTGGGGTCAACGACTCTTGACCATTACTGTAGAGAATTCAGGTGGGGCTTTGACACTGATACAGATCTCAGCTGCAAAGGGCAAACGAACCTAGTGGTATAAGGATCAGGTCACACACTTCTTGTAATCTTCAGACTCTTTCCTGCTTTCTAAAAATTACTGACATTTTGATTTTCCTTCAGAGCTCACAAGTTGGCCAGGTGCTGAGAAGAAAGCATACCACTCCATTCTGATTTAAAACTTCTGTGCTGTGAAAATTACTTTTTGGTGTGGTCACTGGCATGCCAAATCCAAATTATTTTTCAGTTCTGATTAGATAACAACATACAAAGTGTTTTTATTTCTACATAAGTACAGCAAACCAGTAACCAGGCACAGACTCAAGGAAGGAGAAACATTTTCCTCTTCAAGTGTTAACAATAAGCCTAACTGTAGCCTAACAAAATTACTGTTCAATTATGCCTAAATGGAACATGTGTCCTGGAACGTGGCAATTACTCAGCACCTAGGCCAGAAGTGGAATACGGGACACAGCCACGAGGCGAGAGGGCTCAGCGGACCAGACTTTTCACCAAAAACACTGCAGAGTTCTCCAGACTTCCTTCTTCAGGCCTTTGTCCTCATTAATTCTGACAAACCATGAAAGAGAATTATAACTGCTTCAATCCCAGTGGAGTTGAGAGTGAAATCCATGAAATAAACACCAAACATTAAGCAAAAAAAAATCTACCTACTTGTAACCCTTTTTTAAAAGGGATGGGGATACAGAGAGGCACAAAACGCCACGTCCTTATAAATATTTGGCCATCTTACAAGGCAAATCGGTGTCATGTGAAAAGTACCATTTTTGCTCTACCATGTTTTTCTAACTAGAGTCCAGGATGTAACAATGAAGAGTAAATACTTTCTTTGATAGTATATACCCCAAATTTTGAAAACAAGTTCAGAAGGAGGAAGGAACCAATGGTTTGTGTTAAATGTAATCACCTTATTAAGTAACAGTAGAAAGTGCCGTCGCCTTGCAGTTCTTATCACTGTAAGGAGTTATTCAAATATCCCACGCTGGACCGGCGCCATTTCCTCTTCCTCACAGCTCACAGGTTCACGCCAGTCTAGCCATCCACCAATCAGATGTAACCTGGCATTTCACCTGAGAATCCCACCCTAACCTCCCAACCCCGCCCACTCACCAATCATCCCTAGGTATTCACCTGCAGGCACCAATCCCCTGGGGCCTGCCCTTAATCCCTCCCTATCCGCCCCCCACCGTGCAGGTCTACCTGACCTAAGAGGCCCCAGGTGTCTCCATCTCCCCTTTTCTCTCCCCACTGATCTCCACCAGCTCCACCCCATTACTGCCCTGCTGGAATAAACCTCCTAAGATACCTAGTTGCATCTGGGGTTTTCAGCTCACAGTAAAGAACCAGGTTGCAGGAATTAGCTGCGCATAATATCATAATAATACCGTTTGAACTAGAACTCCAACCTTTTTAAAATAACTAACACTTACAAGTGCTTTTTTCTTCAGAATTCCCTAGTAAATTAAAATTGTATATAACTACCAATGGCAATGTCGCCTCGGTTGCTTTTGTATTTTGAAACCTCAAGTGCTCCATTTCCACCTCCCCCAATGCTGCCTACTGCCAGTCACGAGTGACATCTTTGTTTTTCGTTTATCTTTTACCTCAGAAATTGTCGTTTTCATCTGCAGTGGTTAAGCCTAAAACGCTGGGATTATGAAAATCACGATGAAAATCCCCTTCACAAATGAGTATTACTTCAGCTGTGCAAAACTGAACTTTTAAAACACTATCTTCGTGGTGGAACTCCTCAGCAGAACTTTAAGTCCAGCAACCCGTGCTAAGCTAAGATCCTACAGCGTGAGGGAAGCAAACCAAAACTGAGGTTTCTGAAAGCGGCCTGTAGCAGTTCGCCTTTTTTTTTCTGCCTCTCCTTCAGACACCAGGGAAACCGCTGTAGTCTTTCACCAAGGTTGGTTCCAGAGTCTAACAAAGTGCTTAAGCTAGGCTTAAACTTCCCTAAAAGAATTCCTATTAACACGGAAAAAACAAAAGCGAGAGGATATAGTGAGAGGCTCCTTCAAGGAACACTGTAGCTAGCAAACCCCGAGGCTGGCCAACAACACAAGTTTTAAAGGAGCAATCACAGACACCGCATCTCACAGGACGGAGGGAGGCCCGGCCGCACCGGCACAGCACTCGGGGACGGGAGCCCAGGCACGTAGTCCGCGGGGCGTGACTCGCCCTTACAAATGACTGAGGTGGGCAGGAGGAAAGTTTTCTCGGAGCTTCCGCCCACTCCTGAGGACAGCCAACCCACCCCGAACTCGGTAAAACTGCTGCACCGCGCAGACACGCCCGAGTGCGCCCGACGCCCCGCCCACCGAGAGTCCAACCCGCAGGGGATAAGGCGGGGCCTGAGCCTGAGAGGGCGGGACCTGGGCGCCGGAGGGTGGAGCCTGAGCCCGGGAGGGGCGGGACCAGGGCGCCGGAGAGCGGAGCTGAGCCCGGGAGGGCGGGGGTGGGCGGGGTCTGGGCGTCCGTGGGCGGGACTGAGCCCAGGAGGGCGGGGCCTGCGCCGGGAGGGCGGGGCATCGCGCGGGAAGGCCCAGAAGCGGCCCGGTCCGTAAGCCCGCTTTGGGGGAAGGCGGGTATCCCGCTGAGGGTCGTTCTCGAGACTAAGGCAGTACCTGCGCTGAAAGTCCACAGCAAAGGGCTTCAAGTAAGGGTCCGCGTCCAGAAGTCGGGCGAGTTCCGGCACATCTTCCAGGGCGGCGGCCAGCGCCGCCTCGGATAAGTGGGCCGGCGCCGCGGGAGCCCCCGGAGCCGCCATCTTCTTCCGCAGGCCCGCGTAGCCGAGGCCCGAGAGGCTCGAGCGGGGCCTGAGCGGGAGCCGGAGGGCGGCGAGGGCGGAGCTGGCGGGCGCCGCGGCGTGTCCGGGCGAGCCCAGGCGAGCCGCCGCGGCCCTTTATAGCCGCTGTGCAGCCGCCGACGGGGAGGAGCGGGACCCCGGACACACGTCCCGAGCGCGGAGGAGGCGCCCTGGCCTCTCCGCCCACTCACGCGGCTCGCACCTGGAGGCCGCGCCGGCCTGCCCTCTCCTCTGCCCGGCGCCGTAGCCTGGCTGCCCAGGCCACCCAAGGAGGCGGATCCCGGGCCGACCTCGCTCAGCCTTGCCCTCCCGCCTCCGGGGCTGAGACCCGGCCCTGTGTGCTGCCTTCCCCTATAAAGCAGCTGTCTGGCGGCGGAGGCGTTTGTGGTTTTCTCCGAGGGGACTTTGTTGCTGTAAGTTCGCAGAATTTCTTGTTGGAGCAGTGCTTGCAACAAGTCTAAGATAATACTGTTGGAAGTTAATGTCGTTCCCCAGGGCTCCACGTAAGTTTGCCATGCCCGTGAATTTATCCAAAAGACGGGATTATGGAATCCCACTGATACTCTGAGTCACTGGGGACTGAGAAGTGAAAGTAGCAAGAGAAACTTTCCCTACCTCTTACTGCCCGAAGCCCTTTCCATTCGTTTGCAATTGTTAATAAGTGTTAAACTGCCTTTGATGACACAAATGATACCTAAAGGATACTGCCATTGGAAGTGAGAGCTGTCCCGAAATAACTCATAAGGCAAGAAAGTTTTCTTGCTGCTGGCTTAATTCCCGCGTGGAAACTTCTTTCTGTTCTCATGCTTATTACCTGCTGGCATCCACGTTTGTGAATACCGGACTGGATATCGGGAGCAATGGGCCCCACCACCCGGGAGGTTCCACGCCGCTTTTACCTGGCTGGCATTTAAAGTCTACAACTGAGATTTCCAGAGGCTGTGAAGGAAGATTGACCAGCCTTAGGCCAGTGAGTTTTAAAAGAGCCCAAGTGAAAGTTTTTGTTTATAGTTTAGTAAAGACTTGAAATAACACAGAAACTCCACCGCAATGTTGAAAGACCTGAATCGGCTTAAGGAATGCCTTATTTTTTTTTTATAAAGATGACAAAATAACACCGTTTGTAAAACACAACACACAAACACACACAAAAGAATACTTAAAAACCCAGACTCAGGACAACATGTAAACCCATAGAACTGTATAGATTCTCTACTCTTCAGCTTTTTCAGAAATCCAAGCTCATATTGCCTGCATATTATAGGAGCTTCATTTCGCAACTAAAGAATCTAAACTTCAGACATAAATCTAAAATTAATCGTTCTTTTAGCTAGTGCATACAGGCCACTGTCTTTCAGTTGGACCGCCGTGGTTTGACAGGTGATTTCCCAGTGGTTGCCTTTACTACTTGTGATTTAATCCTTGGCTTTCAGTTTCTTCTAATAAATTGTGGCCCAATACTTGAGTAAATGGTGATCCAATTCATGTGGGAGAAGGATAATCAACATGTGTGATGCATGTCGCTATGCTATACAATCTAGAAACTAGTCCCCGTCAAGTTTCCCAGTGCTGTTAACTCACTTGTCTCCTTGCAGTTTTTCCCTGTTTCCACAGCACAACTCCAACGTGGGACCAATTTGCTTCTTCCATTCCTACATTCAGGGACTGGCAGTGGCAACTGAACACACACACACACACACACACACACACACACACACACACACAAATTGTAGGGACTGGTTTCACCAAAAGTTGCCCCTAGTTTTAAGAGTCACCTTGTTTTACACATTGTAACCCCAATTTTACATGACAAACACTACTTAACATATAATATTCCATTTTCTGTGTAATGCACTCTGGGTTATAAGAACTGGCTATGTGCAGCCACTGTAAAAATGAGAAAGAAAACAGGAACATTTCTGAGCAGTGGTGACAGCTCAAATAGGATTAGACATCAAACACCTGCAGTAGTGGCTTGTGGCCCATTCAATACTAGATGTTTGGCATTGATTAACAGACTGCATGAATAAGCTCCGATAAATATATAGAAAAGCTAAGTTTTGAGATGTACAGTATAACTACATAGCAGATCAGAGAGCCAAGAAATTTTTTATGTCATTGAATAGGACCCGTGGATATTCAGTCATGAAATTCCACTAGTGAAAATGATTAAAACAAGGAATTGAAGTTTGTTGTTTGTTTCCTACTGCTCATTACTTTAGCAAAAATTGGGAAAGCAGTTGGTAAAACAAAGTTATCTGTGATGAGATATAAACAAAGATTCTAGATCCACCATATCTCCTGAATCTAATTTCCTTTGGTTGGCAAGTTATTTCAACTTCCGGTGTCCTCACTTTTTAAAAATACAAGATGTGGAAATAAAGCAAAAATATTTTAAAGTTATTGGGATGCTATGCACCCCATGGTGCACAACAGTGTTTGTTAGCTATAGCAGCTGAATTAGGTCACCACTCTTGACATTTGCTTTTCGTATTGGAGATCCAGTTTCAATCCTAGCTACATTTCGTTTGATCCTGCTTCCTGCTACTGTCCCTGGGAAGGGAACAGATAACCCAAGAACTTGGGCCCCAACCACCCATGTTAGAGAGTGGGATGGCTTTTCTGGCTCATGACTTCAGCCTGTTTCAATTCTGACTGCTGTGACTTACAGCAAGTGAACTAGAGTGTGAAAATCTCCATCTCTCAGTCACTCTGCGTTTCAAACAAATCTTTTTAAAAACTTAAGTGTTAGCCATTATTTTTAATATGTAATGAACTTTCCTTATGGGAATTCTATTCAGATTCACTTATATTAGTGCTTACACTTAGAGATTTGTATATGGAATGTTTAAACATGGAAAAACTATGATTATACATAATTTTAAATATAAAATGCTTGATGCATAATCTTAACTAAGTACCTATCCTGAAGGATACAATAAAGCATTATGAGATAAAGAGCTTTAATCTGATACATTAAGATATTCATATTAAATGCTTTGTAAATGAAAGTTAAACAATAATAGCTTGAAGTAACAAAGTTGTGCTTCAGTATATTTCAAGGTTTAGTCATATTTTAAAATCCCGTTTTTCTCTTGCTTTCATTCACTCACTGTCATTTTCTTCAGATTCCTACTACCCTGAATATCATTTTGAAATAGAATAATTAAGCACAATTATTCCATTAAATTTTTCTATGAGAAAATCTTAAGCTAGATGAAGCAGTAGTTACAATAGCTCTATAAATTAATCAAGGATCTTTGGGTTATACACTTAAAACTGGTGAATGTTATGGTGCATAAATTATACTTCATAGGACTATTTTAAATTTTATATATAGGACTATAATTCTGAATCTCCATTGAAGAATGAATTTAATAGCTGACAAACAGAAGTTAACCAACTCCTCTCCTCCTCCACACTGAATTTGATTCTGTAGAGGCAGTGGCCAGCCAAATTTCTTCTGTAGGATTTGCCAAGCCTCACGACAAATCTGATCATCATTGTGTCAGAATAACTTTCCATTCCTAAATTCTGTGTGAGGAGGATTTTCCCAATCTGGTTTCCAATCTGGAAACCAGTGTGAAGCAAACAACTTTTTTTTTTCTGAAGAGCAGGCTATATACTCCTTACATGAACATGATTTTCATTCTGTATTGTCTGAAGAGCAATGTAACAGCAGGAAAGACAGAGACAGACATTCTATATGCTGTTTTATCCCTGTAAATGTCTACAACAGCCAGGTCAGGGATAGGTTGAAGCCGAGAACCAGAAACTCCATCCGGGTGTCCCACATGGATGGCATGCACAAGCATTAGTACCATCTTTTGCTATTTTCTCAGAAGCTATCAGAAGCCCAGGAGCAGTAATGCTGCTGTCCCAAGCAGTGTCTTACCCTGCTGCTGCACCTAGCATTCGCTCAGTAAGTTTAATGAAAACCAATTATCTAAAGGTGATATGCCCTCACTTTTATGATGATTCTTCTCAGTATCCATTATCCTGTCTCCCACAGGATAAGCAGTTTTCAGTGTTCAAATATGAAAAAACAAAATAACAATATTTGAAGATTGCCATTATGCATTTATGTTATCTCTGGTGATTATTTTCTATCTGAAATTTTCAATGTTACCCGGTTGTCCCTTGTTTGAAATTTTTGCAAGTGTTTAGGAACCAAATCTTGTAAATGTACATAACTAAGCCTGCCAATGCAGGGTTACTCCAAAAGAAGAATGCTGTGATTCTCCAAAATATTAGTTAATAACAAGCAATTCTTTCTGTAGTGTGAACAGTGTTTCAGCTTGTGTGTGTGTGCATAAAGTCCTTAGTAACCCATTGATACAGGTTACATGTAGCTGATGAAAATCACACAAGGCCAGGATCTTAGCAAAAATCACACAGTTCTTCAACTCAAGTATATCTTTTTACATAATCTGTGTTGCTAACAAATATTTTATATGTTTGCAACAAATATGATTAGAGGGTAATACGCAGGGTTTGTTTATGTCTATGCTTTCACTTTACTTTTAAAGAATGTAAGACAACTTTGGCAACCCTGTGCACACATTAACCTTACCTGCAAGAAGTGGAGGTCCCTGAAAAACCTGAATAGGAAAAAAAAAAAAAAACAAGGGCCAGGAAATGGGCCGAGAGTCAGTGAACATTTTTATCAAATAAAATTAGATTATTGGGGCCGGCATTGTAGTGCAACAGGTTTAGTTCTAGTTACTCCACTTTGAACATTCTTTGTCTCATGCTCTGTTTCTTCCCTTTCTCTACCTCCCAATAACTCCACCTTCCATATAATTGATTTTTAAAAAGATTTGTTTGAGTGACAGAGTTGCAGCCGGAAAGAAAGGGAGATGGAGAGAGTGAAAGAGAGAGAGAGAGAGAATCCATCTTCTGGCTTACTTTCAGGATGGCCACAACAGCCAGAGCTTGATCAGTTCTAACCCCAGACCCAGAAACTTGGGTCATTGCCAGGACAAGACCACATATTCCACGTGGGTGCAGGAGCACAAGCAGTTGGGACATCCTCTACTGCTTTCCCTCGTACGTTAGCATGGAGCAAAATGGAAAC